CTTTGGTGTGTACCATACCGGGGTGACCCTCGTGCAGCGACTCTAACACTCTCGTCCTGAGTTTGTCAGGAACCACCACCCTGTTCCCCCATAATACACAGCCCTTAGAAATGGATAGTTCATTTTGACGGCTTTTGTAAGGGCCGAACTCCGGTTCAACGCTTCCAACCGGCCACCCCCTCCAAACCCAGTTTAATACTCGGGACAGCACGCTATCCTTGGCCGTGTGTGCTGCAATGTCCCTGGATGATACCGGGGGTCGAGGAAGCTCCTCAATTGCCAAGACCTCACAGGCGGGGGCAGGGTCTGCGCCAATGTCCGGCACCGGGCACCGGCTGAGGGCATCCGCATGCCCAATCGCTTTCCCAGGCCGGTGCTCTAAGTCAAAATCATAAGCCTGCAAAAATATCGCCCATCTAAGCATGCGTGGGGACATGATGTTTGGCAATTGCTTATCGGGCGCAAAAATCCCCAGTAGCGGCTTGTGGTCAGTGACCAGCAAAAATCGTCTGCCAAAAATAAAATCATGGAACTTTTTGACAGCCGCTACCAACGCCAGACCCTCCTTGTCTATCTGGGCATAGTTCCGCTCTGCCGCAGATAGTGATCTAGAATAAAAAGCGATAGGCGCTTCGCTCCCATCAGGCATCAGATGGCTTAAAACTGCGCCTACTCCAAAAGGTGAAGCGTCAGCAGCTAACACCAGGAGCTTGTGTTCATCATAATGCGTGAGTACGGCATTAGATGTCAGCAGCTCCTTGACTCCCACAAAAGCCTTTTCCTCGGCCTGCCCCCACTTCCATTTTGCCTCCTTGTGCAAAAGCGCGTGCAAAGGGGCCGCCACTGATGCCTTATGCGGTAAAAACGCATGATAAAAATTCAGGAGTCCTAAAAAGGATTGGAGCTCCTTCTTACTCACCGGCCTGGGGGCGTTTTGGATTGCAGATACCTTCTCATCCGTGGGGTGGACTCCCTCTGCGTCAATGCGAAACCCCAGGAAGTCCACACTTTCCACCCCGAGCGTGCATTTTGAGCGCTTAACTCTGAGACCGGCATTTTGAAAACGCCTGAGGACCTCTTTAACCCGGTCCAGTAGTTCCTGTTCAGACCCGCCCGCAATCAGCACGTCGTCAAAATAGGGCACTGTGCCAGGTACCCCCCTTAGTAGACGTTCCATGAGGCCCTGAAAAATCCCAGGTGCTACGTTGACCCCGAATTGCAGCCTGTTCACTTTAAAAGCCCCTTGGTGGGTTACAATTGTTTGGGCCTCGGCAGCCTCCGGGGTGACAGGCAACTGCTGGTATGCCTGGGCCAGGTCAAATTTGGCGAAAATCTTGCCACCCCCCAGGGAAGCCAAAATGTGGCTTATTACCGGGACCGGGTACGAATGTTGCTGCAGCGCCTTGTTAATCGTACATTTGTAATCGGCGCATAGTCGTATGGACCCATCTGATTTGACAGGGGTTACGATCGGGGTCTCCCATTTGCTGTATGGTACTGGCTCTAAAACCCCTTGCTCAACTAGTTTGTCAATCTCTTTTTCCACCTTATGTTTGAGAGACACAGGTACTTTCCGATACTTCAACCTAATAGGTTTGACTGACGGATCTAAGTCAAACGCAACCGGGGGGCCCTTGTACCTCCCCAACCCTTCGGCAAATACATCAGGGAACAGGTCGTACAGCATGCCCCATTTATTTTCAGACATCCTGTTAATCCCAGAAATACCAATGCCCAATGGCTCAAACCAATCTAACCCTAGCAGGTTAACCCGGTCTCCCTCTGCAATCAGGAATGACAGTTTAACACATTTCCCCTTATACTCAACAGTAACAGAGTCCCGTCCGGCCAAGGGAATTCGGTTGCCCTGGAAGTCGGACACTCTGGTTCCCGCAGGCTGGAGCCGCCGCCGGCTTCGGTTCGGGAACAACTGGCGCCAGGACGCGGCAGAAATCACCGTCACGGACGATCCTGAGTCCACCTCCATTGTACAGGGTCGGCCGTCGAGGAGTGGAGTCACGGTGATCTTGCCCTGGCTGCTGGTGCGATTTACGGCCGATGCGCTCGACAAGGTCGCCGTCAACTGGCAGCTTGCTTCCGATGCTGAGGAACGGGTCTTGCCTTGGGTGCTGACTGGAGTGCCCCTCTGCGCTGACCGGTTGTTAGTTGAGGGATCCTTCTTTGCTGATCTGCAGACTCTGGCCAGATGACCACGCCGCCCACACGCTCTGCAGTCGACATCACGAGCCCAACAGGAGTCGCGCTGGTGCTTCCCGCCACAACCGGAGCAAGGCTTGACGTTGGTAGTCTTCGCTGGGGTCCGCTTGCCTCGAACCGCGTTGACGTCATCATCCGCGTCTTCGCCCTCGCTGTCTCGTTGAGCGTGTATACTGGGCTCTGCCACCCGCTGGCGGACCTCCTTCGTGGACTTCTCCGCTGCTTCCGCGGCCACGGCCTCTTCGTAGGCCACTGCCCAGGTCAGGGTGGTGCGGGCGAACAGCCTCTGTTGCAGCCTTTCATCTTTGAGACCGCAGACGAGACGGTCTCTGAGGGCTTCCTCCACGTTGTGGAAATTACATGGTCGTGCGGCTTTGCGAAGGGCCGCCACGAAATCTGCGATGGTCTCGCCTCCGGCCTGGTTCCGCTTGTAAAAAGCGTGCCGGCAGGCGATCTCCGACGGTTGTGGAGAATAGTGAGCCTTAAGCTTCTCTGTGATGTCAGCGTAGGTGACAGTCTTTATATCAGTTGGGGCCACCAACGACCTGGCTATGTCGAAGGTCCCCTTCCCGCAGGAACTCAGGAGGCATGCTCGTTTCTTCGCCTCATCGGTGATGTCGTGGGTCTCCAGATGGAACTCGAACCTGGACAGGTAGGAGTCCCAGTCTTCTGAGGAGGGTTCGAAGCACTCGAACTTCTGGCTTCCAGCCATCGTGGGAGACTTGGGCACCGGAGCTGGTGGCGCCTCCGCCGGATCGGCTGCTGTGCTCTGCTCGCTTTCTTCCGAGTCCGAAGTGTGGATGTCCGCAGGGCTGCCTACCTGCTCTAACATCCCATCCTCGTCGCCAATTGTTAGATCGCACTAACAAAGGACTCTTAGAGTGATTCAGCAAGTGATTCAGCTTTATTTAGAAGTAACGAACAAGCACTAACTCAGTAAGAAACCAGAACAGGAAACAGTGGGAGCTTATGCTCCTTTTAAACATAACCGGGCTAATGTAGCCACGCCTATTTACAAATAACAACCAATGAGATTGCTAGAATAAAGACCAATGGGAGTCTTTCCCTCCTAGGGAATGGTATCGTTCTGATTGGTCGCTGTTACGAAGCGACCAATAGGAAGTTCGCTCAGAGGAGCCCTGGTCTGGCTCGAAGCTTAACAGGGGAGTCCTATGAGGTGATTCATGTAATCATTTCAATACATTACACATTCTGTGGCCATGGACAAGGCATATTATTTGATGGTGATGTTGGGGTGACACAATGCAAAAATCATAAGGATCCATGCTTCAGAACCATGTTTTTGCAGCATGGTGTTGCCACAGAGCTGTGGCACTGTGATTTCTGTGATGCGGGCTGTAGCCATGGACATGATATGGGATTTAATGATATGTTTGGGGTGTCCCAACACAAAAAAACCAAGCATCCATGAGGATCTGTGCTTCAGAATCATGTTTTTACAGAATGGTGTCACCACAAAGCCGTGGATCTGTGATTTTTGTGGTGCAAGCTGTGGCCATGGACATGTTATGTGATTTGATGGTGTGTTTCGGGTGACCCAATTGAAAAACCCTGAGGATCCATGCTTTGGAACCATGTTTTTTCAGTTTTGTGGTGCCACGAATTCATGGGGGCATGATTTTTGGGGTGCTGCTTATAGTCTAAGACATGGTCTACAGTATGATGTAGGTTTTATTTCATTCCAGCGTAGAAATCATATGAATTCATGAGGATCCATCCTTTGGACTCATGTTTTTGTGCAGCTGTGGTGCCACGAATCTGTGGGTGCGTGATGTTTGTGGTGCCCCTTGTAGACTAACACATGGCCTACAATATGATGGTGGTTTTATTTCGTTTCAGTGTAAAAATCATATGAATTCATGAGGATCCATTTAGATCCGACTTTTACCCAGACCCTATAAAAAATGTAGGCTTACTGCTCTACTATTCCAAAGCCGTTCGGTTCCACTGTTTAACGATTTTTCCTATTCCCACGTGTTTGTGTGTATAATTATTGTATGTGCCGATGGACAATAATACCTAAAATATCTGACTCAGATATTCCCTCAGGGGGATGCGAAGGAGAGAGGGAGGTTTCCCGCGAGGTCTGAAGCGGCTTTTTCCAAGCGGAAGGCAAAAGAGCCGCAGGGGGGGGGGCGGGGGAGTGGGGGGTGCACCATGCCACTTTCCCGAAGCCTTGAGAGAGCCATACTCACTGCAGTCTCCTCCACCCCACTCCCTGCCCAAAGGGGCTGATGACATCGCCCTGCAAGACCCCGACAAGGCTGCAATTGGCACCGGGGGGGATTGGAAACTGGCCGGCTGCTGCTTGCACCTCCGAGCTCTGTCCGGGAGGCCCGGAGCGGCCCGGCAGGAAGACCTGTGGAGGGGGAGAAGGAGAAGTGACCCTCGGGGCGCAGGAGCCAGCCGGGTTCGCGGGGGCGCCTTGGCGGCTACTGCAGGGGCGCACCAGAAGGTAGCCTCGCCAGCCTACTGTACAAAAAAACCTGGAGCCTGCCCTGTATCTGAGTAAGCCCTTCAAAACTTATGCCACAATAGTACTGCCTTCACGGTGCCATAAGACGCTCCACTGTTTTGGTGGAAAATACTAATATACCTCTAATCCTCTGGAAAGTGTTCTCACCCACTTTCCAGCTTTCCCCCGCGGCATAGAGTTCCAGTTGCACATCCTGTCTGTTGATGGTGTCCGTCACTGATTCTCTTCCGCCAATGGCAGGAAAATATTTCCCGGAACACGTTCACCTTGCAAGGGATCCGCAAGGGTGAAATGCACTACCTTTCCCTTCATTTTTTGTTCCTGAAGTGAAATGGCTGGTCTGGTCAATTTCGAGGATGAAGAGGAGGTGAAGGAATATTTGGAAAATCTGGGAGTGGAATACAGTTTTCACTGCTATAAGGAAAAGGATCCTGACGGTAAGTATCAACTTTAATAATATCGACATTGGCCACTTCCTGGTAATATTTCCGAATTGTAGTTCAAAACACCAAGTAAATCTTATTGAGTTTTACACCTAAGGTTTCCAGCAGCCTAGATAAAAATGTCTCGTTCCATTCATAGAGTCTTAATGAGATGTTATGTATCTCCGTGCTATGAAAAGCTTCATCTGTGGATTTCCACACCTTAAGTCTCTATTAAAAGGATAAGGATATAATGTTTTTCTCCAGGCTATGCCATGTGTAAATCTTCCTTAAACAAAAGCAGGGTCTGAAATTTCCAGCTCAATCCCATGTGTTTACTTAGAAAGTAGTCCTGCTGTCAAGAAACTATGCATTTCATTTCAGTTTTACACAGGCACTTTGTACATGTGGTACAAGTGATTTTTATATATATATAAAAACACTTTATTTTCCTTTTATCTTCTGGATAAAAATTATTTTGGGTTTTTTTATCCAACAATTTTCTGTAGTCTTCGATGTATTACAGGTACATTGTTATCACTAGTAGTTTTTTAAACAAAGACTGCAGTCCTAAATATGTTTATTGTAAAGTTGAAATTGAAACTAATTGGAGGCCCACATAAATGTCTAAGTTCCTTGGGGACTATAGGCCAATGGAAGAGTTGTGAATAAAACTGGTAAGAAAACATATATTCCTCTAAAATTTTGTAAAGAGATTTCCTTTGTAGTAGTTGTGTATGTGATAGAAATACTGGTTTAGAATTTGTTAATCAGACCTACCTCTGATTCAGAAGTCAGCCTTCCTCACCTCATTTGCTGTGTTGTCAGATAGCAGAGGCTGAAAACAAGCTGCTCTCTGTCTCAACTGATGAAAGTACAGTCAAACAAACAAGAAAGCAGAGCTACGGGGGAAGTGTAAAATAGGGGAGTTGTTGTGATCATACTTTGTATAAAGTTTGTTTGATTGTTTAATCACAGGTTGTCATCGTCTGGCTGATTACTTGGAGGCTGTGAAGAGAAATTTTGAGGCAGCTGCCAAAGTACTGAAGGAGAACTGTGAAAACAACCAGCACAGTGAGAGCTGCTACAAACTTGGAGCTTACTATACGACTGGAAAAGGTAAGGGAGAACTTCTTTCTCTGTCATGGTACTTATCTTTAAAGTAAAAATAATAATAATAAAAAGAAAACAAGGTATATGTGAGACTGGGGAAAGTATGGCATAGTCAAGTGGATAATTTCAGAGGGTAGCTGTGTTGGACTGTAGTAGAAGAGCTAGATTCAAGTCCAGTATTACCTTCGAGACCAATAAGATTTGGGTATATAAGCTTTTGAAAATCAAAGCTCCCTCAGCACATATCTCATGAAAGGAGATTTGACTCTCAAAAGCTTATACCCTGGAAATCTTGTTGGCCTTTTAAAGGGCTAGCGGACTAAAATCTAGCTCAAGTGGATGAGAAAATGAGCTAAAATATTATAGAAGATCTTTCGGCTGTAATGTTACACTGACTTTAATTTAATGTTCTTAAGATATTGAAATGTACTTCTATATTTGTGTATCTCTTTTGATGGCATCAATATGGCATAAATTGTTTTGAGGGGAAAAAGAAAAGAAAATGAGCTAAAATCACAGAATCCCCAGTGCAAATTTCACCTTAGTGATGAACTTATTTTGGTCTCAATCCCCTCCCTGTAATGCGAATTATTAAGGGTTATTAAGATAATATATATGAAACCCTATAGAAAAATGCTGTATAAATACTAAGTATTCTTTGTATAAATACTAAATAATCTAAATGTTCTTTGCAGGTGGTCTCCCAGCTGATTTTAAAACTGCCTATAGCTGCTTTTTGAAGTCTTGTGAGAAAGGTGGCAAGAAATCCACTGCGGCTTGTCACAACGTTGGACTATTAGAACATGATGGGCGGGGAAATGATGATGAGCAGCCTAATGCCTCTCTGGCCAGGGACTATTACAGCAAAGCCTGTGATGGTGGTTTTGCTCCCAGCTGCTTTAATCTTAGTGCTATATACCTTCAAGGAGCCCCTGGGGTACCAAAGGACATGAGCCGGGCTTTGGAGTATTCTCTGAAAGCATGTGACTTAAGACACATATGGGCATGCGCCAACGCTAGCCGAATGTATAAACTGGGAGATGGTGTGGAGAAGAATGATGCTAAGGCAGAGGCCCTAAAGAACAGGGCAATGAGCCTGCACAAGGAGCAACAGATGGGTTCAAGGTCCTTAACATTTGGCGAGTAAGCCCAGATAAGTGAAGTACAATCTTCTAGAAATGCTTAATGGTTAAAATGTGCCCAAATTTAGGCTACAGATCAGTTCTATTGTATATTCAACAAATCCATTTGTATGAATAAGTATTTTGCCTGTTCAAATTGCTTCTTGAGAACATTTTGTACAAATTGCTGTTTTGTAAATGACATCTAAATTCTGGGGACACTTCTTTGTAGGACAAAATATGGGAGTATCATCTTAAAAACATACAGTGTGAGAAGTATTATTGATTTTTTTACTAGAACTTGAATGCATCAAGATTGCACATAACAGAATTTACTGTCTGAACCATTGCTGAGATCCAGAGCAGTTTGCAGCACAGAAAAGTGCAAAAGTTCTTTTTGAATGGCTGCTAATTTAACCAGCAATACAAGGTCCTTCATTCACTTTCAGGGCAATAATTCCAGAGGGATGGCTTTGTTTGTATGTATGCAGTAGCAAAATTACACAGAAATTTAGTAGCACCTTAAAGACTGGGGAAGGCACTCTTTCAAAGAAGAATCAAAGGGCCCATTCTGAGCCTTCCTTGCAAAAATGCAAAGGGAATTGCAGGAACCTAAATCACTGCAGTCTTAAATGTACTGATTAAAAACCAAATTCTGTTAATTTCAGCAGAATAGACTTCCAAAGAAATATACTTTGGGTCAAGGTATAAGTAAAGGAGCTGCGGTGGCTCAAGTGGTTAAGACGCTGAACTGCAGGCTGTGGAAGGTCAGTAGTTCAGCAGTTCGAGACCTGAGTGTGCTGTATGATGGAGTGAACTCCCGTCTCAAGTTCCAGCTCCTGCCAACCTAGCAGTTCGAAAGCAAGAAATTGCAAGTAGATAAATAGGTACCACTTCAGTGGGAAGGTAACAGTGTTCCGTGTGCCTTGGTGTTTAGTCATGCCGGCCACATGACCACGGAAATGTTTTTGGACAGCGCTGGCACTTCGGCTTTGAAACAGAGATGAGCACCGCAACCCTAGAGTTGGATTCGACTGGCTTTCGAGCAAGGGAACCTTTACCTTAAGGTATAAGTATTATTGTAATACATTTTTAGTAATCTGTGATACCCAGCTGATGTCTCCCTGTTGTATATTTGAACTTTATCCTGCCACCCAGTCCCATGTCTCCAATTGCCATTCTTATATTTCTACCTGAATTTCTCATTGCTGTCTCATTATGTCCATAACTGAACTTCAGACCTTCCTGTCCAGGCCTTGTTCACTTCATACATCCATGCTGCAGAACAAGCCTGTGATCTTGGTTTGGTGCTCTCTTCTTTGCTCTCCATATTCAGTCTGTCATTAGGTAGCATTATTTCTTCTTTTTAGCAAAAAATACTGGTTCATCTCTTACCTTGGCAAAGTTTGAATACTGCAACCCCCTCCTCAATGGTCTTCCAGTGTTGCATCTGGCACCCCTCACCTCTGTCCAGTCCATTTACCACTCTCATTGTTCCAGCCATGTTTTGCCCTTCCTTGAATTCCTGCATTGGCCTCCTGTAGCTGTAGGATCTAATACAAACTCATTCTTACTTGCAAAGCCCTTCATTCTCCCCTCCCCCATCTCTCCATTGTCATGCTCTGCTTATCTATCATGTTATATCCCTTTCAGTCCTCTAGGTCGACCAATTTCAGCCATCAGAAGATCTATTCCCACAACTCTGCCTTATCTCTCGTGTTACTGCTTACACCAGGAACTGCCTCCCAGGATACATGAACACCGCTTCCTTCAACTCTCTCATCAGCCTACCTTTTCTGTTAAGCCTTTGGAACATCTTTTTATAGTTTACCTCCCTGACTGAAACTGGGCCTTGCTACATATAGCTAAATAAATGCACATTTTAACCCGGGTTATTCCCACGTCTGCCTTCTTCCCTCCCAACTTTGTTGTCTCTTTTGTCTCAGATGTTAGTGTGTCAAGTCAACTCCTTAGTGAGCCAGTGTGGTGTAGTGGTTAGAGTGCTGGACTAGTCTTCTCCAGAAGCTTGCTGGGTGACCTTGGACAAGTCACTCTTGCTCCAACCTAACTTAATTCACAGGGTTGCTGTGAGAATAAAATGGAGGACGCTGTAAGCTGTGTTGGGTTCACTTTGGGGAGAAAAGTATGGCATACCTATGCAGGGCCTTGTCATGCTCTGTAAAGCACCTTACCTATTGATGGTGTTCTATATATAATAATTATTTTTTCCTAGGGAAAATCATTAGTGTACTCTCTCCCAAAGTTCAGTTGGAGGAGTTAAATAGAGCTAGACTGCGTGGATCCAGTAGGTGATTCATTGCTGATAAAATGGGGGTGGGGACACCCACTGCTGGTAGAATGAGAGAGAAAGAGAGATCTTGATGAACTTTTAAAACTTTGGCCCAGTTCACCCTATATTCTGTCTACCTATAAGCATGCACTTGTTTGAATAAACATATGAATCTGAGTGATTACAAATGCAGTTAGCACAGCTACTCAGCTGTTGCAACTCCAGTTGTAAGCCACGTGGGGCATTATGGGCTGCATTTGTTGCTTTTAAAGCTGCATTTGACACTATTCTCAGAAACAGGCTGTGGGCAAAGCTTGAGAACTCCACATCAGACAGAAGACTTTATATACTCATTCGCATGCTGCATGAAAGTGATTCACTAAGGGTAAGATGCAGACCAGAGTGCCATTTTCTAGCAGGGTCCCACTTGCAAAAGAAATGAAACCAGGATGCATTTTGGCACCACTGCTTTTTAATTTCCGTATCAACTCTTTGGTGCAGTTTTTAACAAATTCAGGTTTCCATCCTCCAAAATTAGCAGACAAAGCGATTCCTGCCTTATTATACATGTATGATACCATAATCCTATCTCACTCACAAGTGGGCTTTAGGAGAGTACTTTGGGCCTTTGTGGCTTGTTGCCAAGAGGAGCGGCTTGTAATACATTATCAAAATGATCAAATACATTCTCATCCTCACCAAAAAGCATGAAAGACACAGATTGAGGGACATGATATTGAATAGGTAAAAACTTTAATACTTAGGTGTAGTCTTCCAGTCAAATGTGTTTTTTATTATAGGAATATTATACACATAACTTTATAAGACTATTATACAAATCACTTTGGAATGATAATTGTTTCACTTTCTCAACAAACTATTCTTTAATGGTCAACACATTTGACCTAAGCCACGCTGAATTATATTTATTTTTTAATTATTATATGTCTACATTTCTATATCATTTCTATATCATGTAAATCCTAGTTTATTTCTAAATTTGGAATTAACCCTTTAAAAATTCTTAACCTCCTTATAAAAAATTAATCTTTTCCTGCCACATAATTACCCTGCCTGGCTCCTCCCAGGTTCTTGCATGACTGGGCTCCTCCTGTACCCTGGACACAGTGGGCTTCTGCCGGTTGCATTCATGCTTGCAGGCTGCCCTAATGGCTACTGACGTTTGCTCTTCCTCAGCATCTTCTTTGTTCTGGGGCCAGGAGATGATGTCAGCAGCCAATGCCTAAATCTCTGGGGACCAAGAGGGATGTTGTGAGGCCCATGCCAGTTGCTGCAGCTACCTGCTGCCCAGAGTCCCATGCTGTGAATTCTGTTTGAGCCAATAGTGGCTGTCTGGGTCCCGCTCGGCTTCTGCAGTGTTGGGGAAGTTTGCTGCAGGTGCCTTGGCTGAGGATGAGCCAGGAACTGGCCCCATACAATAGCCTTTATAAAATGGCTTTTGATAGCAAATTTTATTTTTTTATTTTATTCTATTTATACCCCTCCCTCCCAACAAGTGGGCTCAGGGCGGCTTACAGAATTGGTACCCAGTACCATGAAACCATACAAAGATTAAAACATTCCAAAACAATCCAATGAACAAGTGCTAGTGCTGATGATCATCTAGAGATGAATTGGAATAGCGGGAGAGCCCCAGGTACCACCTGGAGGTTGGCAACCCTACCTTACTGTGATTTGCCTTATGACACAGAACCAATTTAGCTTTAATTTGTTGAAATGTAGCTAAAAAAGGAAGGACCAGCTGAAGCTTTTCATGGGCCCTTGAGTCCAGGGAGTCCATGGCCCCCGTATTGCAGCTCCCTCCATTTATTCATGGCTCCCCCAGTCATAGTACCTGCCCCCCTCTCCTTCTGCTTTGTGGCTATGCTGGAGAAAGCAGTATAACATTCCTTCATTCCTTTTAGCCCCATTGATGTCAGCAGCCAAAAGGACCAAATAAGTTTTGGAATGTTGCAGGGACATCTGGGCCAATTGGGAGGGGTGCCTGGAAGACATAGTACAGTGTGATTTTCTCATGGTTTTTCCTTCATTGCCTTCAGTAACATCTCCCACTGTGAAATGGGAGACTGGCGCAGCACGGTGGTGTTTTGACAACTGTTCCTTCAATCCAGGTCAGTGTTTTAGACTGCTGTAGTCCATTCTAGCCGGACTCGGTGTGGGCAGGAACACAGAGAAAGGAAGCTGTACTCATTGTAGCTCCAGACAGAGGAGCGATCTCGTTATTTTGAAGAACACAACAAGCACCTCCATATGGAGGGAAGGGGCCTCTGTCATATTCCGGACCTCCAAAGGAGCCCTCTCATGCTAGCCCTGATTTCAACTATCCACAGTTGGAGACCACTGACATTAATTGTGTGTACTACCGTATTATAAATATATGCTAATTACATTGCGTTGTGAATCAACCACAAGAATTTCATGAACTGGAAACTTTCAAGTTTGGCTGTAGATGGCAGCAGAGGTCAATTTTCAAACATCTATATGAGAGCTGTTGAACTTTATTATGCCTTTCCCCCAAGTGGAGCAAGTGTTCCAGACAGAACTGATTTTGTGCCCCATAACTGAATGAATGTTGTGCTGATAGAAGACAGAGAAGGGGTGACGTGGCTCAGTTCCCACCCTTGCTGCAGCTTCCTGGCCCACACTGCTTTCTGCTTCTCTCTCCTGCTCCAATCAAACTGATAACATTTTTCATTGTACCTTTGCATCCTGACTCCCTTCTTTGCAATACCCGTCCCATCTTCTGAGCAGTGTTCCCTCTGAGTTAGTGTGAGCGGGCTCACAGTTTTTTAGCCTCTGACTCACACTTTTTTGTCTTAGCTCGGGAAGGATGGCCCCAGGGCAAACTGATTTATGCAGTAGCCAAATTGCTCACTCACGACTTTAATGCCAGTAGCTCACAAAGTAGAATTTTTGCTCACAAAACTCCACAACTTAGAGGGAGCACTGCTTCTGACTGGGATAGAAGGACTCAGGGATCTCCAGTCCTACCTGTATATGATGGAGTACGGTTGCTTGAAAGCCTATATCCTGGAAATCTTGTTGGTCTCTAAGGTGCTGATGGGCTTGAATCTTTTTCAGCTTTGTAGTTGATGCTTAGGTAAGTTCATGAAATGTGGAAAGCAGATTCTATATGCAGAAACAGTGTTGTAGTTAGTGAAGGTAATAGATTTTTTCCCTTTGATCAATCAGTTTTCATGGCGTAAAAACTTAACATACCACTGTGTTAAGTTCTGATCAAATACAGATAGTTTTAGGAAAATATTATATCCATATTTTTTTTATATGAGAACAACATGGCATTGACACAGGCAATGTTCCCTCTAAGCTGTGGAGTCTTGTGAACAAAACTTCTACTTTGTGAGCTACCGGCCTTAAAGTTGTGAGCGAGCGATTTGGCAACTGCATGAATCAGTTTGCTCTGGAGCCCTCCTTCCTGAGCCAAGACAAAAAAAGTGTGAGCCGGAGGCTAAAAAACTGTGAGCTGGCTCACACTAACTCAGCTTAGAGGGAACACTGGACACAGGTTGCAGTGAGATTGGGAGGGGATGTGAAATGAACATTCAGCCTCCAGGTCTCTCAGGGGTCAGTCCTAAGCACACCTCCATGGAAGTAACCTCCATGTTTTCCTGTGTAGCTTATTCCCAGGAGAATGTTCTCAGGACTGTCCCCTCACCACGCCTTCTTAAGAAACACTCCATAGACTAATCTTTTCTATTAGGCTTTCATATTCTGTGATTTAAAACTCTGGGAGAAGCAAGAAAATTGAAAGAATGTTGACAGCCTCTGATTACCCTTTATATTAATTTATATTTCTGTAGACTCGTTTAAATAAAATATTGTATTTTCCATTTTTCTTTTACAGCTTTTGAAGTGGATGAATGATAGATTTTCATGATATCTCTCTATGTCAGTCACAGTGCAAATTGGAACACTTTGTAATAATATACAGTAAAATCCAGTACTACTGGGATCCCTAAAAGATTTTAAAGAATGCAGCATTGCATAGGTCAGTGGGGAAAAATGGGCTATTGAGTAAGCCAAATAATATCCTTGATATAGCATTTTAAAGGGTTCAAAGCACTTCTCAAACATTACCTTGTTGTGATCTTTCTAAGTACCCTCTAAGGTAGGTCAATATTATTATCTCCATTTTGCAGATGAGATGGGGGAAAGAAAGAGGGTGTTATTGGCCTAATGCCACCTAGAGAGTTGATAATACATTGAGGGACTTCCTGTTTCACAGCTCAGCAACTGTACTACAATAGCTCCAAATAATATCCTTTAGCATGTGGAAAAAAGTGATTCCAGACAATAGATTGGATATGAACTTGGCCATAAATGAATGCTCACCAGGTGAGTTGCTCTTTCCCGGCACAAGTTGCTGCAAGAGATAACTGCCATGTCATATCGAGGCTGAAATATAGTTGAGGAGGCGTTGATATTCAGTTTCTGAAGGGTCCCTGTTGATACTATTATTCTGACATGCTCACTTCGGAAACGGTAGGGTTAGTTCCCCCCAGTAAATGAATTCAGAAGTCATGTTGTGTGGCAGCTTCCTAGCTACAGCGTATT